TAATCAAGGTTTGACAACACAGACGCTCGAACACAGACATGTTTAGCAAAACGTGATTTTGCATCGCACTTGAATGCCGTCAATTAAGCGACTTGAAATGAGGCACATGCGGACTGTTCGTCATGTGGCACGTGACTATGTTTATAAGTCTCACAGGGCCCTAAGGGCGGAAGTGGTGTAGTGGCAAGTGGCGCGCTTACCACGCGAGCGGTCCGGGGATCAAATCCTGGGTCGTGAGTCGCCCGGGCCAACCAAGCCTTCCATCCCTCCGGGGTCGGTTAATTGGTACCAGACTTGTCTGGGAGGATAAAAACACTGACTTGTACATCGGCTGGCCCGCAAGTCATTGTATAGGCCACATCGCATTCAAACGCCACTACGAATGTACAAATGGAAGTAGAATGCGTGCCGCATCCCAAAGGGATTGATCAACGGCAAATGCTTTATCCTTTTACCCTTTATAGGCTCTCAGCATGTCAAATTTTGAAAGCCCTAGAGCTATAGCTCACGCTGTTGAATAGCCAGAAAACGACGAGAGCATAAGCGATAATGACCATAACATTCGTGCCCATTGTGGTGAGGTTCCATATCTCTGACACACGATCTGGTAAGCCCAATGGTGGGTTGCAAGCCAGTATAACTGAAATAATTTCAAAAATCGTGTCTTTTAGGCTCCAGTTCAGCAGTGACCCTTCCGAAATTGGTTTAAAGCACTTCAAGCGCTTGTCGTAAAAATTGTGTGTCCTGAGCACTCCAAATTGAAGGAAAATATTACAGAACAGACCTTCATCATCCATAAGAACTGCGCCACTAACGATGAAGCATGATGCAGTGAATACACATGGAACATGAATCAGAAAACCGTAGATGTCGTATCGCATTAATCGATGGCTGGAAATCTCTCCGAAATTTGAAAAAGAAAAGCGTAGCGAGATATGGTTAAATACAAACAAGAATCCTCCCCAGTACTAGCCGCCGCTTTCAAGCGAAATGATACAAGAACTGCATTAGACCGCGTTTTCAAGCTTCCAAGGAAGGGAGAGCTACATATACGTAGCTTATGATTTTGGTTTCGCCTCCGTTCTTTTTGAAGGGGGATTCTGGGACGAACGGCGAAGAAGGGGAAACTTATCCAGTGTAGAGATATGTGGACCTCCTGAGATTGCGGACCGTCACCCAATTCGCATAACATGGCATGGCCTTCCCGCAGCGCCATTGACGCGTTGTGCCCTCTCTTGCGTCGTCTAGCGTTTGAGTCTCTAGCCGTTCAGCAGAGAGAGAGAGCGTTAACGTTGAAGATCAGTCAGTCAATCAGTTAGCACGTTGAGATCAGTCAGTCAAATCAGTTAGCACCTGGTAATTCTTATTACCTAAATCTTATCTCTACCCGGTGTGATGCGCACCAAAATTAGTTCAGCGGAATAGTGCATAGTGAACTCACGTAATCGGCGCGACAAGGGAAAACAGGATGTCGACAGGCAGCGCTATCATCATGACGGCTTGCATGGTCAACGTAGCTATGTAGGGTGAGAGGTAACGAAAACAATCCGATCGCTTCATCACTGACGAATTGGTGATCATCTGCACTGCGCTCAAACTCTCATATGCCAACCCGACGCAATCATATATACACAGAAAGCCCAACAGCATCCCTGAAAAAACGACATGAATGAGTAAAAAGCATACCAACATATAACGTTAGGCATAGAAAACGCCAAAACGTCCAATTTTCCAAAGTTTACCAGATTTTCTACGAGGTTGATTGTCTGTGATAAGCTCGAGTCGGTGAGATGAAGTTAGTGATTGGTTTTGGACAGTAGGTTCTCGTTAATAAAGCTTCATAGTGGTGCCGCTAGCATCGCCGCGCTGTCGCGCGAATTAAGCCCTAATTACAAAAAAGCGCACAGCTGAGGCGGCTGTTAGAGTCCGTGCTCCGTCGCGAGGCGGGCCGCAGAATCAACAAGTGCCTAATCGGTGTTGCGAGGTGCTCTCTTGCCTCCATGCGAGGCTTACGCTTACCCACTGGCCTATGCCTAAGCCTATGATTGGGCATACGTTTAGTCCTTAAGCTTGCTCGCCGTCTCAATTTTAGGTGACCTGACCTCAGGAGGGAAAACGCTACGCACTCCCTCCATCTCTGCTTGATTTTGATGTTTGAATGACGACTGTTCATGATTCTACTTGTTTCATATTCAGTGTTTCAAATGTTCAAATGGGCACTTGCGATTTTGCGATTCGCGCGATTCGCGCGACAGATCGCGGACTCTGACACCAGCCTTATGCGTACTTCGTCGCGTGCTGCGCGCGCGGATCATGATTGGAGAGTGCTCTCGATTTGGGAACTAGCAAAGAACAAATACGGCAAGGTAGCACGCGCATGGATCAAATTCGTTCTGCTACGCGACCTTAAGAGCAAAGGATTTACTGAGGTATGCGAAAAATAATCTACTAGTTGTTGGGATTTTGTTGCACCAATGAATGAAAAATTCATCTCTAAAGACTTTACCGTGTTTGGTGTGAAGATTTTTGTATTTGACAACTGCATAAATCAAACTGAGATTTCCGAATAAACCAACTATTGTGGCAAGAAATATGACACAGGGCAGGAATATGAAGTGAAAGCTCATATGGTCTGAAAATAGTAATTAGTTCTAGTCCGATACCTCAATTTTATTATTTATTTTCAATTTATTCACTTAATTAGTTACTTATTTTTTGTTTATGCGATGCAGATATGATCGATATAGGGCGCTATTCATTAACCTATAGATACGCATGTGCAAAGGTAACGAAAAGTAAAGTAATGTTCGACCGACTTCAACACGGAAGGAAACGAGAATTACTATGCAACGAGTGAAAAAACATGCAATTTTTGTCCAATTAAAGAAACTGTTGAGACAGACCTCGTGTACACCACCGATGGCTCAAGATAGGACGGGGGCGCTAGGATAACGCCACTCCTAGACATGCTCGGAGCATACGTACGGATTCCGAATCTGAATTTTCGATTTTTTTCGGCATTCCTATCCTTGACAGTTGAGTTTCAGACCCGCCTTCAAAATTAATTCAATCCAGAACAACTATCTCTCATATTTTTTCGATACTTCAGCATTAACACCTGCGTTACATTTTGAACAGATATACCCGCCCTAATTTTCCTCGTTATTTTGCAAAGGATCCTCATCCCATTTTTGATGCTTTGAAAGGTCGATCCAGTTCAGCAAACATTGAATGAAGCAAATCTTCCGAACGGAAAACTGCACTTATCAGAATTTCCCCTCAACTAATAACAGTCCAATATATCTACTTCTCCGACTTCATGATTTGAATGCTGGAGGCTCTTCAACAAAGTGCTCCGAGATCTGATCTTAGATTGAAATTCGTTCACTTTGGAGAAGGTTATAGTCATTTGAATATGCTTCAAATTTCATTCGTAGATAAGCAGTTCCCAGGTAAACGTCAAAGATCGTTCAACACGCAGCCTCTAAAGCAGTTACAAGTCTCTGCCAACCCAAAGCTGGACGTAAGATTGAGAAGATTCCTTGTGTTGTACCAAAGGCTACAGCCTTTCAAGGAAATAAAGGAACAGAGCATCCCCCTTGTATGCTGTTTTTCGGACTGGTCGTCCTTCTGGTCCATTTATGTTGATAGGATTTAATTGCTAATCTTTTTTCTGATTCTCCTCAACTTCTTCCTACTTGGCTGAACCAACGACTTGTATGATGAGGTGAGTTTAGGGCAGGATTTTTAAATAAAGTTTTTGAGGAAGTTAAACAACATTTTCATACTCGGGCTTCGGAAGAGGGTCGTTTTATGGACTTCGGTAGCTGGGGAGGGGATGGAGGGGTCGTATTTTAATAGTTCTTGGCACTCCGCTTGACCGCAATGGCGGCTGAGTAGTATGTGATACGAAATTGGGCAGCCATACGAAAGAACATACGCAAATCATCTACGAAATTCTGTGGAATTATTACGATGAAATAAATGTGGTTCGATCATGGGCTAAGCGAGTACTAGCATTCGGAATATAAAGAACAACATCTGCTCATACTAAGAAAAGCAGAAAACAGTTCTCATGTTTCAGAAGAAGATTGCACACTGTGAAGAGCTCACTATCTTGTCTTATAGTAGAGCACACAACTCTCATCATACTATCACTACATGTTTTCACTGACAACAATCATCAATATGACAGCGCATCAAAAATGATCTCAAGAAGGAAATTATTTTTCCTCTGATGGGGGAGCTCCTCCGCAAGGTCCGCCCATCAGGGCGAAATTGCGCATGCATATTAGCAGCAGCACTCTCAAGATTCCTCATACCGGGAAGGCTTTTCAGAGCATAGAGCGCTATTTCGAAGTGGTGTTTGCATCTCAAGAGAGAGAACCTACGAAAACCTGCATAGAACCTAGTAATAGGATCCACTTCTTCTGAGCTGTCTCACGCATGACTGCAAAAAATGAGGTTCCCTAGCGATAGGTTCCACGCAAAACTTCACAATTCGTGCGGCGTCCGGAAGATGAGCCAAATGCTGAGGGCCAAAAGTTGGTTACGAGTGGAATCTTCATCAATCTCTGTGAGGAGTGTGACCGGTGCTATAAAAGTTACGACGTTAAAGCGGGCGAAAGCGACGCGGAACGGAACCACAGTGCACCATTTGACGCCAGCGCCGGATATGAAGCCTATTTGGTGATCGATCAGGGTATTGGATAACCGTTTAAACAGACTTTTTGAGAAAATATAGGATTTTTCAACATCGAAAACTGGGCCATGGCTGCACCAATGCGGTCACCAAGGGTTACGGTAAAGTGCGACTAAGTATGAAGATAGAATTCATTCAAATCTCTGTACCAGACGATGGTTAGCAATGCTTTTGAAAGTAAGTTCAGATTGAATACATATCAGCAATTTTTCCAGCATCTCATGGTCATGTAAAAATCAACTACACCGTTAGGAATCCTCATGAAGGACCTATAGTGTGGTTGGTGTGAGTTTCCGCTCTTTGGGACACCATATTGTCCCCCTCAACCGCCAAGACCTTTCCTGAGCAAACATTACGTCTTCCGCTGTGGTTCCTTCCACCTGTGACACCAACACCTCGTGGAGGTGACGCGTATGCACAAAAAAGGTGTTTCATATAGTAGAGGGAATCGCCACAATCATGATATGACGGTAGATTTTTCGCCTCCCCTCCTCATCCTCCCTTCCTCTCTCCACTGCCCTCCAGCTGCCACTGCAGCACCATGTGGAATGAACGGAAGTGTGCTAAGCAGGTGTTTATATAGCCCTAAGAGTGTTATCACATACCTTATACAAAACATTGATACTGCAAGTTGTAAGCTTCTCGACTTGTTAGCGGGTTTTATTCCACTAGCTGCCTTGTCACTCACTTCATTTCGCGGACGCACAACAGACGCACATAAATGCATTCATACAGACATAAATACAAGCCGAAACATTAAATTAGCGATTTATGAAATAAGAAGGATTCGAGTACGGTAGTTGAAGCCGGTCCTTCTTTTCTAATGGGACTTGTCGGCTGTCTGGCTCGAAGAATGTTTCGTATTCAAGTACACAGTCAACCGTAGCAAACGAGAAACACACCTTAATTGGTCTGCAAATTCTACGTACTCGCTGAAGTTCTTTGAACCGGAGTTAATTTAATTCATTGGAAAGTCAAAGTAAATTTTAGAGAAAGGAAAATTATATCTTCGCTGTGCGAAGATGACTGAGCATTGAGCCATCATTCAAGGTTTTAATGAGCATTGTGACCGATGCTTTCTAAGTTGGGAGTGCACCAGAGATCGAAATCA